ATGGCATGTTTTAGCATAATAAAGGATCAATTTGTGTTTTCTTTGGGAGGTGTGAATCAATCTGATAATATACTAGGAGTTGGTGTATTAGATAATTTGTATATGTTACGGGCAATGTATATATTGCCCGGTCAATGTGGTCCTACCCGGGCAATGTGAACCACAATGTTTTTTTTACTAACTAATAATATTGACTGAATGAATAAACCACATTGTTTTTTTTTTTTTTTTTGTAATAGTTTATAGTATTTAAAAGTTTAATACTATTATTAATTTTATTAAATCTTATCATATAATGAATATTTTAAAACAATTATAAAAATAATAATAATTGTTAAATAATTTAAGTAATTTATAATACATTCAATGAAATGAAATTTCACAATAAACTACGAAATTTTTGAAACACGCTGTAAAAACTTGTTTTTGTTTGCTGTCGTACTATCGTTTGCTATCGTAACCTATTTAAGAATCATAAATTTTCTATATGGATATGGCCATATYGGAATGATAAAATTAATAGCTGTCTTGATAAAATCAGTCAATAATATATTATGAACAATCATTTATATTTTCGACTAACCTAAATAAAATGATAATATTTGATATTTTTTTTGTTATTTCATCAAAATATTTGTAATAGTAATATTAATATGATACATGAATATAATTAATTATTATTTATTCGGTCAATATTATTAGTTGCTAAAAAAAAACATTGTGGTTCACATTGCCCGTAACATATACATGGAGTAAGTTATATTAATATTTAATACCTACTTTATAACTTAGTGTAATATATTATGAACTTAATTATTTTTTATTTTAGGTTGGCTGAAATAATGGCATTAGAKCTTTAAATAGTGTTGAAGTATTTGATGTCAGTATACAAAAATGGCAAATGGTATCAAGTATGTCAATTTCAAAAAGATTTTGGGTGTTGATGTACTCAATCATCAGTCATATGCGGTAAATAATTATATTTATTTATTTATTTATTTTAAATTGTATTACATTTCATTTAATTAAATTGTTTAGATTGGATGTGCTAATAATATATATATATATATATATATATATAT